CAAGGTCATGAATTCGGTTCCGGGTACCGGAGAAAAACCAAAAAAAAAATAATAATAATAATAATAAATAAGTAAATAAAAATATATCTCATGACTTTTGATCTAGTAACTAAGAGAAACAAGTAATTTTCCATTCATGCCAAAATTGGCCGTCTATGGCATGTACAGTATATTCACCAGGGTACTCCAAAAATCAGAACCAATAGGAGATTATAGATATATAGGAAGAGTTATTCTAAGAACTGTCTCACAATGATCATGGAGACTGACATGTCCTAGAATCCACACAGTGAATCAGCAAGCGGAAGACCCAAGAGAGCCGAAGGTGTAATTCCAGTATGAGCCTGAAGGATGGCCTCCGATCACCACCCTCCAGGCCCGAGCAGAGGCCACTTTAAATCCCTTCCCACACTGTACCTTTACACCCGCTGATGTATCATCATGGGTCGATAAGGCCCAGTGAGCACAGCTACACCCTGTAATCCCAACGCTGTCCAGCCCTGCTCTTGACAAACACCACACAACTCCTTGTGCATCCTCAAGCCCGGTCCCAGGCAGACAGCCACCGCTCCTTTGTACTGAACTCCGCTCCCCAAAAGCCCCTTGGTGACTTCCCTTCCACAGCCCGCCTTTCACGATGCTCGTGGCCCTATAAAGACCTTATATTCTGTACAAGAGTTGCTGGTCTAGTCTAAGCACCAGAGCGGTCCCTCACGGGTGTGCTCTGACATAAACCTTTCCTTTTTGATCTGCTCTTTCCCTTTTGTCCTAACCCTGAAGGCCTGAGAACCAGGAAAACCAGTGACGACATAGTTTTATTCTGAAGTCCAGGAGGCACATGAGCCAGGTAGAGCTAGCATTTTAGTTCGAATTTGAAGACAAGCCAGCAAGACAAGTTTGAAGGCAAGCAAGGAAAACTCTGAGGGGCGGGGCATGAATCTTCCTGTTCTAGTCCAATGTTCAACTAATTTAAGGGATCCACCCACTGTGGGGGACAATTTGTTTTACTGAGGTCACCAATTTAAATGTCAGTCTCATCCCAAAACACCTCCACAGAAGCATCAGAATAATATTTTGACAAAATATTTGGGTCCCCTGCAGCCGAGCTAAGTCGACACACTACCCGGCCATGCCACAGGAGGACGCCCGCGGAAGGAGACGTGCCCGTGTGTGAGGCTGGGTGTGGGTGGCTGCGAGCAGGCCTGTCTCAGGAGCAGCAAAAGGGAGTCAAGCGTTTGAAACAAATATTTCAAAAGTGTCATACGGATACCACCGCGATTCCCAGCCGAAAAGCGCGCAAAGAGCCAGGGAGGCCGCACCCAATCCCGGAGGCCAGGACGCGAGAACAAAGACCCCGGTGACACTGCAGACTGAGTTTCTAGGCGCTGGGAGGCCCAGGGGA